TGCCTGTATTTCTTCAGTCCTGAGTGGATGTCTATGCGACACGAACTGGTTCAGCCTAGCCAGGTTAGACTAACTTGCAAAGATTGAATCAATTCAGGCTCAAGCTTTTTGAATGTCTGTCCCTAGCCTAACAGCGCATCTATCAGCAACTGAACCTATGCCACCGTTAACATTTTATGTGGGCCCATTACCACCTGCTTGAAAATGACTTTCACTTACTATCAAGTTTGTCTGCATTTTTGCAGCTCCATTTTTAGCCCCTTTTTAATACACTTCTTTTCCCAACATCTGATTTTTTAAATACAATTTTTTGCTTCAACTAACACCCCTTTTAGGATTAGCCAGTTGATCCATACTACATGCCTGGGTATACATATGTAAACTCTCAAAATGAGTTTCAGTATGTATTTGAAAAAAAAAAAAAATCTAGTGACATGTATACAATGGATAGGGATTTTTGTCATATTGCTACAGTGAAGTTCTGCATACCTACTTTTCAGCTATACAAACAGTATTAGGTAAAGTATTAACAGAATGTATACAACTCCCTGATTCCAGCCACATGCAAGTTATACTGTTTTAATAAAAGACAGAATTTTGCCAACATAGTTCAAAACCCAGTGATGGGAATATGAATACACACACACACACACACACGTATGCATACATACAGACATACATACTAAATAGGAATTTTTAGTTCGGGGCCAAGATATGCACGTTGATTATCTAGTTAAGGTTTAGCTAATCTGAAATAAAACAAAAACAGTGAGAAAATTCTTACCAGATAGCAAACTGCAAATCTGTTACACCAATGCACAAAAATAAGGGAAGACTGCCAATCTCTATGATCAACAAATTAGTTCATAGTCCTTGATTTATTGGAGAAAGAAACATGTCAGTGTTTTCCTTGACTTTTATCTACTTTCCTGACTTGCAAACATCTTACTAAAATTCATACCTTGGCCTTTATTTTGATGGCTATAGTGAGGAAACATAGGGTGCTGACAGACATGGAAAAAACTCAACACAAAAAACAAAACAAAAAACTAGCGATTTATTGGAAGAGGAATCATGCCAATTTGATCCAGCTTGGCCAGCATCTGTATAGCTCACATGCATCAACAGGGCTTTTTGGTAGTTCTATCTAAAAGCTGATTCAATCAGTTTGATCTAATAGCTGAAGCACATGAGCTATACAGATGCTGGGCAAGCCAGGTCGTGCTGATGTGATTGCTCTTCTGGGCACGTGCTGCATTCAGCGAAGGGGTGCACTGAGCTGAAAGTAAAGCACTGCGGTTTTTTCCCCCCCATGTCTGTAAGCAGCCAATGAGCACCATAACAGTAAGACTATTACAAAGAACACAACAAGATTTAAATCCTAGTGGTGGGGACACTAGCAGCTTAGATAGTAGATGCCCTTATACAGGCTACAGCAAGTCCTGGACCTTGCACCAGCATGATTTTTCATTCCATGGATTCCCCTAACGTTTTTCTGGTAGAGTTATTTGACCAGCTGCTGGTTGTCACATGTGTCTGTGCAGATAGGGCCATGGAATACGAGCAATGCAGGGCCTAGCCTTCTCCAGAGGGACAACATCTCTGCTCTCAAAAGTGAGAGCAACATAAGCAGCAGTATCTTAACAGATGTAAAAAATATTCTCTCCTGTTTCTGAAGACATTTTTTTTAGCCATGCTCAGCTTTCCTATTTTCCTTCTTGTTCATGGATGAGACTAATGCATACTGGGGGCTGAGAATCAGTAAGCACCACAATCTGCTGCTCAGATTCGTCTCTCTGCTCAGATGCTGGTCCTCAAGCTGCTCTGAAGCACAATTCATATCCCAGCAAAAAAAACTCTTCAGTTAGGATTCAGTTTTATTACTGTATTTTCTCACATACAGTATGCTCCAGAACACCTTGCGTTTGAAAAGCAGAGTGAAGAAAAAAAGATTTTTCCAGAGTTATGGCTGCCTAGAGCAGGGACAAACCTAATCTTCAAGTTGATTCACCCTCCCCTGCCTGCTTAACTACAGCTGAAATGCTACCTGTGTCTGAAGACTGGTCCCTATGGGTGGATCTATGATTCTGAAGAGGGCTAAAGAGTTTCCAAGGCTGTGAAATGGAGAACATATAGCAAGATTCCTCAAAGAAAGGTTAGCTTAATCAGTGGCACCAATCATTAGCACCTCTGGACTGAATCACTGCAGTCAACTGACTCCCTTAGTTGCTTAAATAGTAATGCAACAACTGCTCCACAGTGAAGAAGAAAGTAAAGCAGAGTTCTTCTATCCCAGGCAGAAAGTCAGCTTCCTACTTAACACACACCCCCCAATTTTGACAGGCTGAGTTTTAGGGGAAAGGTGCTTCATACACTAGGAAATATGGTAAAAATGTTCAGCCCATGCTTTCTCCTAAGTTTGGCTGCTTGTGGGTTTCCATCCTTAAGAAGGCTCAAATCTTCCTTTACATTCTCCCTCTTGCACGCAGGATAATTGCAACAAAGCAACGACTCTTTACAGTCAGCTTCCTCTTTCTGCTGAACCCTCCCTTCAGGTTTAAAACTGCTCACAGATTTCACAAGGCCAGACTGGGTTCAGCCCATCTCCAGGCAGATCACTGATCCCTTTTTGTCCTGATCCAACAGGGGCTTCAATCAACTCCTTTGCACCATTTACAGTAACGTGCAATTTTTCCTACAGCAGAACATATTCTCATTCTCTGTGTGCACGAAAGCACACGTGAACTATCATATGGTTACTGCTAATGTAGGACCCCTGTCATTGTTACATTATTACTGAGCAGCAGGGAGGCAGCACAATCTAATAATTAAGGGAAGGACTAGGATTCAGGACTCCTGGGTTCTATTCCTGGTTGATACTGCCAGTGACTAGTTTTATGATCCAATGTGTTATTTTTTTCCTACTGCCTCTTTGGTGGTCTTTGATCAACCCTTAACCAGCCACTGACATCCTTAAAACAAAAACATCTAGAAAAGTTGCAGCCACAACATAGATAAAAGAAAACTTCAGCTTTAAAAGGTACTGCTAGCCTTGCAATATCCAAATAAAATCTGGTGAAAAGTGATGCACCGGTTGTCACTCAATAGGAAGTAAGAGGGAAAGTACAACCAAGAGGAAAAGACTCTATCCTAAAATGTACATGGCTGGGCAACTATGGGACTACAATATCAAGAGCCAGCCTTTTATGAGTTTGAGTGTGCTGTGGCATAAGCTAGACATTAGGATTCACTGAGGTAAATTAAATTACATTCATGCATGTACATGCACATGCATGTGTGCACACGCACACTTACCCAGAAATAAAAAAGGGGGAAAAAAACCCCAAATACTCAATTTAAAACATGTTTTTTTACCATGGTAGCAGAATACTTAGGTCTGCAGAATGACAAAATTCACAATCACTAATTAGTTTTAAAAGCAAATAATAGTCCTCAGTATCCATTTATTCATAACCTAATGTTTTCTGTTGAATTACAGCTTTTAGAATGCTTTTTGAAGTATGATATTTATTGCTGGGTTTTTTTTCCCCCCAAGGTATTTTCATTCTTTGAATGCTTTTTTTTCCTGGAAAAAGGAGCTTGAATTAAGACTTACATGTAACTTTTCTAGGTTCTGTGCTAGCTAATATTTTCACGAGGCAGGAAACTGGGTGAATGGAGAAATTAGGAGACTACAGCAATCCATTAAGATGTGGACCTCTGCAGCGTCATGGGGCAAAGTTCTGGCAGCTGAGCTGATATCAACCTAAAATACAAAAAAACCAAACAAGCTGTCATTTACCGAAATTCAAACACAAAATTTGCATCAAGAATGGTTTTCTTCTTCTACTTCTGCAGTTTTTTGCCTGGAGTATCCTTGTGAATTAGGCTATATGGCTCTCCCCTGTTGATCATCATCAGCAAATGTAGGAACCAAGGAACACAATCATTAAGTTATTTCCGTAAACTAGACTCATTGATACATTTTGCAGCTCATTAACTGTATCCAAATAGTTTTGGCTGAGTATAAAAGTTCTTCAGACCCAGTATGGCTATGTCTATTTTGCATCAAAGGGTTGTCTCTGAACTAGTTGTTACAATTCAGGAATGAGACTCTGGAGTCATTGGAGATAGTACTCTAAAAAAAAAGTCAGCTCAATGTGCAACAGCAACCAAAAAAGCCAATAAAATATTGGACATCATTAAGATGGGAACTGAAAACAAAACAGAGAACACCATCATGCCACTGTACAAATGCATGGCGCGCTCCCGTCTTGAATACCATGTACATTTTTCTCCACATCTCCAAAGGGAAGTAGTAGAATTAGAAAAGGTACAGAGAAAAAGCAAACCAAAATCATCTAGGGTATGGAGCACTGCTATGCCAGGAAAGACTAAAAAGGCTGGTACTCTTCAATTTGGAAAAGAGAAGAAGGGTGAGGAGGTATATGACTGAGGTCTATAAAATCATGAAGTGGGTGGACAAAGTGGACAGGGAATTGTTATTCATCAGGTCCCAGAACATTAGAACTATGGGCCACCAATGAAATTAGGAGGAGACAGGTTTAAAATAACAAAAGAAAGTACTTTAAAAAAATGTAACATACAGTTAACTTCTGGAATTCACTGCCACAGGAGGCAGACAGCATAGCCAGAGTCAAAAAGGGACTAGACACATTCATGGATGATAGAACTATTATATTTACTTAAAAATAAGGTGAGGTACATTTTCCCCCACCCCCATCAGCACGGGGAAAAAAGCTGCTCATCTTACATATGTATACAAGGAAATCTAATTAAACACATTGTTTATCATTAAACTGATGCCAAAAGCAGCACATGCTCAGTAATGGAAACCAACTATAAAGTTGATAAAATGAAGCCAACACTGAGCATGACCATAGAACAAATGGCCCAGATCGGACACACATTCTCATGGGAACCTATCACAAGGACTGATTAGTTCAGCCCATCTCAATAAGATGTACAGAAACATCCCTTGTATGCAATCCCCCTTAGCGCTGACTCTTTTTCAAGTCATAAACAGCCACTACACACAGAATACATTTTGACATCCTTTTTACTCTAACAGCTGAGCTGTACCTTTCTTTCCCATTTCCAATTATTCCTGTTTCTTCACCAGCCTTAAATATCTGGCAAACATCATATGGGGCCCAAAAGGGTTCACCAAAAATCCCTCCGTCACCCCTTCTCTCAGCCTGCTGCAGATGGCTAGTGTGGCCCCACCCTCCATGAGATGGGGCCAGACCAGGTTGCCCTGCACCTCATCTGCATATACATTTTTGGAGGAACTCAGGATTTGTGACAAGAACACTGGTTCCAGTCACTATAACTTGAAATGCTGCTGCCTCTGCTGGGGACCAGCCCAATGAACTATACAGTAAATCATGAACTCTTTGGCTTTGGACTAATATCATACAGTACTTGCAGTACTTTCAAAAAGGGTAAACTGCATCAAGTCTGGATGAACCAAGTCTATAGGCCCCCATAGAAATGTGCATAGGTGAAAATTACTATAGGCACATTTATTTCAAATTCAGTGTTCTCAAATTTGCCTCTCACTTCCATGCACTCAGTGAGAGCAGGGTCTGATAGTGGGGGGGGGGAGGATGGGAGGGAGAGCAGGTCAAAGATGCTGCATAACTCCCCCCCCCCAATTTATCTTCCCTGCTGTAGCAGTGGGAGAAGAACAAGTTCAAAGCAAACCTCCCTGGAAAATTATAATAAATTTATAAATTTACATATATAGAGTCCAATTATCATGGGGTTGTCTTATAGTTGAGTAAATATGGTCTTATTAGCTGTTGAACAGAATAGCTGGAGATGTTTTCTTTGGTGCCTCTAAACCAATAAAGGTAGATGACATGGAGGATAATGGATAGGGGATAGATCACTCTAGGTATATCTGGTTCAATGGTCTCCCTCTAGAGCATCCACTCCTGCCACTGTCAAACTGGATGGACCACTGGTATTACCCAGCATAGGCCTTCTTATATTCTTAGCTCACACTTAATTTGTGGACTATGTAGTAAGAACTACCTTTTTGTATAGCACTTGGCATTGTGGGGTCTGGATCCCTACCTGAGGTTCCTAGTCGCTACCTACAGCATAAGTAATTAAAATGTAGTCTTTCATATTCATGAGGAAAGGCAGTCTGCAAAATACAAACCCTTTTGATATTTATTGGCATAAAAGATTCACTCCTATTATTCTATTGATTTCATATCCAAGGAGAAAACTATTCAGTCTTTTTTTTTTTTTTTTATTTAACCTATAACAAACAGACTAAGCAGGCATAAAATGACAACTTACTTCCAGTAATAATTAGTTTTGCCAAATCTTGGTTTGGATTTAATCATGGATTTTAAACTGACAAATGAAGTATGCTTATGCTGTATTCTACAAGATTCCAAGGACGGAATTAATTCTTTATTTCGTTCAACAGTCTTAAGGTTATCATGGATCAAAGGATGGGGCAAAAACGAAACAAAACAAAACACATAAGTCCTGTGCAATTAAATATTAACACAAGTAAGATGACAGCTACTAAATCTGCTTGTGCAAAGAAAACAGCAAAAACTTACATGGATGAGCAAGAAACTTAATCTAAGCTTCCCAAATATGAATGGAGGGTAACTGATGCAGTGCTATCTTTCTGAGAACATTCTGAACTGAAGGAAGGGAATGTGAGCTTCCTTTCTGGAAGTGTTTCTGAAACTTATTTTTAATCAAAGGCTAAAATCTGAAAAAGTTAAATTAGCTTTCCCCTGACACCTTATCTTAGTATTTTTCAGAGGAAAATGCTAAAGACATCTACAACTTTTAGGAAGCTTCACATGTCTGCATCCCATCTGCCCATAAATACAAGTATATGAATACAGCTGGGAGCCATGGAGTAAAAAACTGTGTATGATTTATTCCTAGCATAAAGGTTGAGCAACAGGAGAACAAAAGGTTTGGATGCATGTTTTTACCTGTACCCAGCCTTTGATGCACTCAGGACAGTTTTAGAAGCTTCTAAAATGCATTCACAAAAGATTCCAATGAAAATTTTCTTCATTCAGATTTTCTGACAAGAATTAAATTTGGCTAAAAAAATATAAAAAAAGTTGAAAACTCAAAAACTGGAAAACACTTTGCTAATCCAAGGTTTGTACCTAAAATGCAACCTTGTCAACCCTTCTAAATAACCTACTTCCCCTGAGTAAATCTTTTGGATAATGACATGCTAGATGATTTGTCAACCCATGCTGAGTTCTCTATTTTTTAGCATGTGTATACTAAAAGAATAAATATATAATGGCTCAGCCTCCTAATTTATGCAAATGTCTTCTAGATAGACAAAGAATTCACTGAGAAGTGGACCATAGAGGATAAACACTTAGAAGCTTTATGATCTCAAATGTAACCAATATCCAAACTGTCTCTAAGACTAAAAAAAAATACAGTTAAGTCTCTCAGATCACAAGTCACAAGTAAAACAAAATTGTTTGTAAAAGTAAAACAGGAAAAAAAAAAAAAAAGAAAAACTGTCGTTGACCCAACGCACAGAAATAAACCAGACAATGTAATAGAACCCTCTGCTTTTTCAATGACCAATTGCACTTTCAAGCTAAAATTACATTTGCTACAGCATGTTTGAAGAGAGGGAGAGGTGAAGGGAGGAAATAGGAAGAGAAAAAAAGGAGACTTTCAGTGCTACACTGTTCTTGGAAGGTGTGATTGATGTTCACTGCTGTAGAAAGCATGGGACTGCATCCCAAGAATTTCATTCCTTTCTGCAAATGTCTCACTCTCTCTCTCTGTTCCCTAGATATTCTTACCCAACGGCAGATGATCCACATAGCATCAGGTTTTACACATGATCTACAACATGAAAGCAGGAATCTCTCTGCCTAGGGGTCATACTAGGGTAGGATGAAACCTAATTCTCTATTGCATTTTGCTCAACAGCTACACTATTCCATGGTTTCCATTTTAGAAAGCAGTTTTTCGTTGGGAAACCAGGGAAATGATTTCAAGAAAAAATTTCAGTAAAGTTGAAAACACACGAAACTTACAAGACATAAAAAGTAAGCTCATCTGAAATTAAAAGCAGGACTACAACCACATACAGCGAGTTAAAGCAACATGTTCCACAGAGAGAAAAATGCACTCTGTGCCTCCAGTATCATACACTTCAGGCCTCTCTAACTTCTGAGTGGCTGGAGGCTTCATGGCTTGTAGGCACAGTAGTGGAAGTCATGGGCCCCCAGGCCAGGCCTCCCTACCCTGGGTGCACTACATGCTTGCCTCTCACCCTGCTGTAGTGTGCAGCTGTGCCACCACTGCAGCATATGCACTGGTGCAGGTACCCCTCCCCCCCTCATCTGCACCATGCACCTGCTGTTGCACTGCACCCCTTGCTTCACCCTGAGCTCCCTGTACTGTGCTGTGCCACGACATCCCATTCTGTTGTGTGGGAATGTAAAGCAGCAACTGGAGAAAGGAGGGAGAGCTCAGTGACTCCAGCTACTGTTGCAGTTGGAGGGATTCACAGCTGAACTGGGGGCCACAACTGAACCTCTCGTGGGCCACATGTGGCCTGCTGGCTGCCAGTTGGATAGCTATGGTATATTTTAAGGCCTCCATCCTGTAAACATCTGCATGGGCAGTCATTGTACCTCTGGAAATCCAAGTACAGGACTGCAGAGAATTTCCAAAACTAAACCTTTGGTGCTTTTACATAAAGCCCCAAATCTTGGA